CATTGACCCTTGGCAGGAGGGTCAAGATACCCCTAACCAGGAGACGGGGAGAATAAATAACCCTTCCCTTGGATGTGATGCCCGCACCCAGGCAGAAGCTCCTGGAAACTCCAAAACTTGCCATTCCACCCATCTGCCCTAGGGCACTAGTTCCACCCACCCTTAGATACCTCCCTCAGAACCATTCCTGGTGGCTGGCCTGGTGGGCAGTCTGGCAGACACCCAGCTGACCTTCTCACCCTGGAGGTGCCTCAGCTATGGAGGGAAGACTCTTAGAGCCTTTGGGTTATCATTCTGATGGCAGAGTGGGTCCTAAACCAATCTCTGGGGAGTCCCAGGCTCTGCATGGTGAAGGGGAAACATGGGATTTTTGGGGAGGAGTCTAGGTGGTACGGTGAGGAGTCAGCCTGCTGCAGAAGGGCAGAGAGCATGAGCCAAGGCCAAACCCAGAGTGACCTGTCCTCTCTCCTCTGGCCCCAGGCAACTGGCCCTGAAGGCACTCAATGAGCGGCTGAAGAGAGTGGAGGACCAGTCCGTCTGGCCCAGCATGGATGATGATGAAGAGGAGTCTGGGGCCAAGGTAGACAGCCCCCTGCCCTCAGACAAAGCTCCTACACCCCCAGGGAAGGGGGCTGCCCCAGAATCCAGTCTAATCACCTTCGAGGCAGCTCCCTCGACGCTGTAACTCCAGACCACCTTGAGTGTGGCACCTCCCCTCCTGAGCCCCCCTTGACATCCTCTCAGCTACTCCAGGGCACCTGACTGCTCTGAGGAGAGGGAAGAAGGCCTGCTGGGGCTTTCCATGGCCTTCTGCTGTTTCTCGCCAACACTACCCAGGACTCTTGCTACCTGGTTCCAACTCCAGACAACCACTATGCCAGGCCTGAAGCCTCTGAGGCATCGGCCAGTCCAGGCCCTCATCTGAGGTAAGAATGTACATCAGCTGGCAGCCCCAAGCAAGTGGCTGCAGGGACACTGATGCCACAGCTCCTGGGCCGGCCCTCACATCTGAAACTGGTTGCCGAGAGCCCTGAGCCAAGGCAAGGATTTGCCAAAAATGTTCTGGGGGCCCAGCAAATGCAGGAGCCGACCTGGGGCTGCACATCCCTGCCCATCCACAGAAAGACTGTTCCTGTCAGGATTTGTTTCCCTCTGCTGTGGCCGTGACTGCTTCTGGACCAGAACAGCTTCGGCTCCCAGGTATTTTCTACAGGACCACTTTGAGTGGGCAGCCAAGCCCAGGCTCACAGTATCAATAAAGCAGTTCTCTGATGAATGACTCGTGGGCTCTTGTCAGGCCACCTTGTGCAGCCCCTTCATCACATTCAACTGCAAAGTTAGACAGGGATTTGATTGTCTCCATGGTAACTCCACCTGGATAGAGAAGCCCATTGCCCCAGCTCCCCACCACCGCCACCACCACATGCACACTGCCAAGTAACCTTCCAAGAGCTATTGCCTCAGACTCTTACTCCTTTTTTCTTTCCCTTCGAACCCCTATCTGGGAGGCCTTCTGTCCCTGCCTAGATCTGATGATAAGGGCCTCTCCATCATAAGGCGCTGTTCTTATCCATTGTTTACCTCTAAGACAGAATGTTCAGTGCTTGCCACCCCTAGAGACAACTCAGCCCCAGCTCCCATCCTGTTATTGTATGTATCTAACCCTCACAGTCTGGAGACTCCAGCACAGTGGACAGCCGGGGGACAGAAAGGACACACAGCTGTACCATTCACAGCTGCAGCCCTAGGGCCTGCCAGGGCCCAGAGTGGCCTGGGAGGCTCAGCAGCTAGATCCTGGGGATTTGTGTGCTGGGAGAGCTTCAGCCCCATAGGGAACAGCCAGGGATCGGAGGGGTCCCCATCTTGCCCAGCTGCCCATTTTCCCATGCTGATGGCATTAACAAGAACCATCCCCAACACTGGGCTGCTTCTCCCATCAATCTTTTCAGTCATTTTTGTAAAAATTTTTACTTTCTTCTCTCCTGAAATTTCTGGACATACAGTACAAGTATGAGCTGCCTTGCAGGGGAGACAGTCTTGCAGACCTAGCTTCATCCAGACACATGATGCATAAGTTCCTCTGGGATGACGGAGAGAGGGGAAGGAAATGGGAGGCACTCCAGCATGAGGAGCAGGAATTCACATATGGGCCTCCAACTGCCCAACTGTCCCAGTGCCTGAGGTGTCCCCTGACTCAGCTGAGAGAGTTCAAGAGGTCCCTAGCCCCAGCTCCTACATGGAGGGGCAAATCCAGGCTTCCCCTAGGCTGGGAAGAGCTCATGGTTGGATCCTCTTGCGGTATAGGTAGGCATTGCTCACCTGGTTCATAATGACCAAGCTGGTGAGGACAGGGCATAGTGCAGCCAGGTACCAGGCTGCACCAGTGACAGAAGCAGTGAACCAGAGTGAGCACATGCCCAGCAAGAGGCTGGCACTACCCAGCAGGTAGCCCACCAGCCCAGAAGTAGCATGGTATAGCTTGAGCTTTGCCAGGGGCCATCGGGGCAGCAGCTTGGGGTACAGCAGCCCCACCCCACCTGAGCATTGTAGCCCTGCCCACAGCACAGCCAGCAGCCCTGCCTGCCCATGCCGCGTAGCCAGGTGGGCTTTGCCAAGCTGCTCTTTGTGGAGGATGACAAGGCCGAGGCCCAGCAGTGCACACAGCAGGGCCAGCAGCTGCAGCACCCAGTGGCAGCGTGCTCGGCCCTTCCGTGAGAGGGAGCGCAGCAGCGAACTCTCAGGAGAAAACACCAGTAGTGCCTCGGTCATCAGGAAGGAGAACTGAGGAGACAGGGGATGGGAAGCTCAAGTGAGGGTGCTGCCCCAGAAGAGGGGAAGAGGCTTTATGTAACCCTCAGCTGCCAGTGAGTCCTGGGCTGATTCCCCTTTTTCTTTCTCTCCCCACTGACAAAGCTATCCATTTGGTGGGGCAAGAGTGGAAAACCCCATCTGGAACGATATATGTGCCCTGAATAATCTCCACACTTCCTCCTAGGTGCCAGTCTGAAATGTCATCTGTGCTATGTTACCAAGCAAGCACAAGGTTTGAGATGTGGCAGTTATAAATGATTCACAAGCTTTGTTTCCCTAACGTGGGGCTGGATACAATTTCTTGGCAAGAGCTGGCCACACGGGTGCACTATTTCAGGGAAAGTTAGGTACATCACCAGAAATTAAAGTAAAAAGGGACAGAAGTACATCAAAATGCAATGTCTCAGCTTTCTGCCTAGAGGTGGGTGAAGCCTTGTGCTTAGACAAACCTTACCCATTTGACCTAGGTCTTAATTACTCTGATTCAAGTCTTTTTTTTTTTTGGAGATAGTCTCTGTCACCCAGGCTGGAGTGCAGTGGCATGATCTCAGCTCAATGCAATCTCCGCCTTCTGGATTCAAGCGATTCTCCTGCCTCAGGCTCCTGAGTAACTGGGATTACAGGCATCTGCCACCACACCCAGCTAATTTTTGGGGGGGGGGGGCCGGGGGGGGTTGGTTTTTTGTTTTTTTTGAGACGGAGCCTCGCACTGTCGCCTAGGTTAGAGTGCAGTGGCACAATCTTGGCTCACTGCAACTTCCATCTCCTGGGTTCATGTGATTCTCCTGCCTCTCCTCCTGAGCTGGGACTACAGGAGCGTGCCACCATGCCCGGCTAATTTTTTGTATTTTTAGTAGAGACGGGGTTTCACCGTGTTAGCCAGGATGGTCTCGATCTCCTGACCTCAGGTGATGTGCCCGCCTCGGCCTCCCAAAGTGCTGGGATTACAGGCATGAGCCACCGTGCCTGGCCTCAAGTCTCAGATATATACCATGGGCAGGAGTAGTTGGAGCATGCAACTCTTCCAAACAAACATTAAATGTAGACAAAGATCCAGAGGCTGCCAGGGCCACCAACCATGCCCATGCTCCCACCCCTAAGAACTGCCCAGGTCCACTACTTACAGCCAGAGACATAAGCACCGGGTGCCAGGAGAACAGGCCTGGAATGAGAAGAGGAAGCCTCATGGGGCTGAGGCAAGAAGAAACCAGCCATACCAATCCTTAAGGGTTGAGGAATACCAGCGGCCCATCACTCAAGGAGGTGATGCCAAACTGTGAGCCCCCTCTTGCTCTGCAACAAGCTGACCCCACACCTATCCTCTCTTCCTGGCCCCTTCCTGGATCAGAGGCCATGCTTTGCCACTCCTCTGGCAGTCCTCCCTCCTTCCCTTACACTTCCTGAGACGCAGCCAAAGGGAGCACCCAGACAAGGAAAGAGAAACCAGGAATTCTGTGTGCCCTGGCCACACCTACCTGCTCCACCCCACTCATCGCTCCGGCACCGAATTCCCTCAGCCAGCCAGGCCTGTTCCCGGGAGTCCCACTGCCCTTCCTCCCCAGGAAAAGCGGCTCTTCCCTTCCCAGAAGTCAGCTATGAATTCTACTTACTGGAGCCAGGCCTGGCAAGCACAGCCACAAAGATGGTAAAGCCCAGGGCCACAAGGTGGGCGGCAGCTCCAGAAGCAGTACGCAGAGCTCGGTAGATGTGTGACTCGGTCTCCGCAGAAAGGGCCATGGTCAGCCGTGCCAGTGGTTGTAGCCTGAAAGCATAGTAGCGAAGGCCAGGGTCTCAGGTGCCCACTGTTCACTCCTCACTGGAGAAAAGGCTGCAAGGCAGGCATGCCACCCTCTTCCAATAAGTTATAATAGGAAAGAACAGTACCAAGACCAGCACCAGGAATGGTCACAACATGCCAGTCGAGGGCCGGCGGCCTGTCAGCGTGTACTCATCTGAACTGGTACCAAACGCTGGCCCGCCTTCCAGGTAGGATGCGAAAAGCCATGTAAGACTACAAATCCCAGCGTGTACCACGCCGTCGCCGGCAGTAGAGCCCGCTGGGAAGGCGCGGGGCACTATGGAAATTGTAGTTCCCTGCTGCGGTCCCAGTTACAGCGTGAATCCCTTAGCGCACCGCCTCCCCAAGTGCTGCGGGCATGCTGCCCCTCCACGCTAGGGACTTGCCTGCCTCAGCCGCAGCGCAGATCTGATGCGGTTGTTTCCTCCAAAGAAAGCGGGATACTCCGGGCCCTGCCGCGCGCACCGCCGCTCCGTCGCAGAGCCGCTTTACTTCCGGGTGCGACGTCTACGCACCCAGGACTTCCTGGGACGAGCCCCCCGGCAGCCACGCCTCTGAGTCGGGCTGCGCAGGCGCTGCTGGGCAGAGGGATTCGCGAGCCTGCGTGCCCCAGCGACACGGGCTTCGGGGCTGTCTGTGACAAGTGTTCACAGGAGGTGGGGACGCCCCTGCGCGAGGAACGAGGACCTACGGGCCTGGGCCTGGCTATTGCCATGGGCAGCGGCTGCCGCATCGAATGCATATTCTTCAGCGAGTTCCACCCCACGCTGGGACCCAAGATCACCTATCAGGTGCCACCCGGGCTTGCGGGACTGGGCGGGGAGAGGGACGTTCTCGAGAGCTCAACCGGCTGCCTAAAGGCGGTAGTTTCCCGTGCTGTACGCAGGCATGCTACTTCATTCGCAGACAACTGTGAGGCCAGAGGATAGTCAGACCCAGGCCCCCCGGCTCCCAGTGTGACAGGGAAGACATACGTCACATTGGCAGTGTTTGTAGGATATTGGGCTGTAGGGATCCGGTTGAGGGGTTCCAGGTCCCACAGAAGGTGAGGTGGGTGACCCATGAGTATCCCTGAACTGAGTGAAGAGTAAATGATGCATAGGAAGTTTAGATAAGGGAGGAGAAAGTGTTCCAGGTAGAGCGAATATGCAGAAGCCAGGAAGGAGGTGAGATCATAGCGTGTGTTTGGAAACAGAAAGAATAGGCCTGAGTGGGTGGGAGAGAGGGGAACGCTGGACAAGAGGACTTGGGCTTGGGAGGCATGAGGAGGTCACCATTTGTACTACACCGAGTACAGATGTCCACTGAGGGGCCCCTTGCCACTCCCCTTCCCAGGTCCCTGAAGACTTCATCTCCCGAGAGCTGTTTGACACAGTCCAAGTGTACATCATCACCAAGCCAGAGCTGCAGAACAAGCTTATCACTGTGTGAGGCCCTAGCTCGGGGTGAGCGGTGGGCGGCAGGGGTTGCCCCAGGAGGAGGAAGGGACAGGCTTGGGGGCCTGACTCTGTTCCAATTATCTAGCACAGCCATGGAAAAGAAGCTGATCGGCTGTCCTGTGTGCATCGAACACAAGAAGTACAGCCGCAATGCCCTCCTCTTCAACCTGGGCTTCGTGTGTGATGCCCAGGCCAAGACCTGCGCCCTCGAGCCCATTGTTAAAAAGCTGGCTGGCTATCTGACCACACTAGAGGTCTGCAATGAGATGGGCTTGGGTTTACGGACAGTTGGGGAAGGTGTTCCCATGTCTCCTAAGTCCCCCACACCTGAGACCCTGGCAACCAGCTCAGGACTCAGGGCAGCCAACCAGCCAGGGCTCCTGGGATGTGCCCACCATGTTGTCCATGCTCTATCTAGCTAGAGAGCAGCTTCGTGTCCACGGAGGAGAGCAAGCAGAAGTTGGTGCCCATCATGACCATCTTGCTGGAGGAGCTAAATGCCTCGGGCCGGTGCACTCTGCCCATTGGTATGGCCAGCCTCTGCAAGGACAGAAGGGTAGAGGAGAGATGGGAAAGTGAGCCCAGCCAGTCAGGGAGAAGGACAAGACTCGTGAACACATTGGTGGGCAGGAAATAGCCATGGGCTGAGGTGCCCATGTCCAGGGTCCAATGCATGATGGAGCTGGGACTGCAGGTAGGGGGGAAGCGGAGCTCTCCAGCTCTGCCCCTTGGGCAATTCCTTCCTCTTTGTGGGCCTCAGTTTCTCACTTCATAAAAAGAGAAAGATTAGCCCTACCCAGAGGCACCTGCTTGCCCCAAGGGATGCTGGGAGGCCTGGATGGTAATTGAGGGCCTCTTGGAAGAAGTGGCACTGAGGATATGGATGGGACCCCCTGCAGATGAGTCGAACACCATCCACTTGAAGGTGATTGAACAGCGGCCAGACCCTCCGGTGGCCCAGGAGTATGATGTACCTGTCTTTACCAAAGACAAGGAGGATTTCTTCAACTCACAGTGGGACCTCACTACACAACAAGTATGCCATCCCTCCCTGGGTATCATCACCTGGGGCTGGCCACAGCCCTGGCCTCATCCTGTTCCTTCTGACCTTGTCCTACTCTGCCCAGATCCTGCCCTACATTGATGGGTTCCGCCACGTCCAGAAGATTTCAGCAGAGGCAGACGTGGAGCTCAACCTGGTGCGCATTGCTATCCAGAACCTGCTGTGAGTGGGCCTACAGTCATACCTGGTACAAGGTCACCAGCCAGGGAAGAGCTCAGGGGCCCTGGGTGTGAGGGTTGGGAAGGCATGGTCCTCAGAAGCTGAGCACAACTCTCTCTCTCAGGTACTATGGCGTTGTGACACTGGTGTCCATCCTCCAGGTAGGTGAGTTGGGTTTGGTTAAGTGGAGAGTGGACCATGTGACTGGACCAGACCAGGGCTGTGTCAGCTTCCCAAGCCCCTCACTCAGGCCCCTATGCCTTCTGCTACCCTCTAGTACTCCAATGTATACTGCCCAACGCCCAAGGTCCAGGACCTGGTAGATGACAAGTCCCTGCAGGAGGCATGTCTATCCTACGTGACCAAGCAAGGTAGTGGTGGGCTCTGGGGGAAGCCATCTTGGGGAGGGCAGGGCCACATGGTGAACTGATCCCTGGCACCCACAGGGCACAAGAGGGCCAGTCTCCGGGATGTGTTCCAGCTATACTGCAGCCTGAGCCCTGGCACTACTGTGCGAGACCTCATTGGCCGCCACCCCCAGCAGCTGCAGCACGTTGATGAACGGTCAGAGGAGAATTCGCTGGGGCATTTGGGAGTTACCTGAGGAAAGCTAGACCCTTTATGTCTCTCAGGAGCCCTGGGTCATGGGGCACTGCCAATCCAAGCAGGCTTCCTGGAGATGATGGGCTACAAAGACAAAATTGAAGGGACACTACAGGAAAGGGTTCGCCTGCCTGAAAGAAGGCCTGGCCAGGGCGTCACCCCTCTGTCCTCTGATCCTCACCCTAGGAAGCTGATCCAGTTCGGGCTTATGAAGAACCTCATCAGGCGACTACAGAAGTATCCTGTGCGGGTGTCTCGGGAAGAGCAGAGCCACCCTGCCCGGCTTTATACAGGCTGCCACAGCTATGACGAGATCTGCTGCAAGACAGGTGGAGGCAGGCGGGCAGTCAGGGTGGGGTCAGGGCAGGGTGGTCAGGCCAAGGCCACTGACCTCTCCTCCACCACCCCACCCAGGCATGAGCTACCATGAGCTGGATGAGCGGCTCGAAAATGACCCCAACATCATCATCTGCTGGAAGTGAGGCTGGTGGTGGCTGGATGGACACATTGCTGTGGGTAGTCCCTCCTACCAGGAGGCTTGTCATACTGTCTAGAGCTTGACTCTTAGTTCTGTAAATAAAGACATCCATTTCAAACAGCCTTTATTGAGTGCTGCTTCTGGGCCAGCCACGGGAGACCCAGCGGTGAATGAAATAGCCACGAGCTGTGCTCTAGATCGCCATCTGGTGGGCAGGACCGACAATCGACAAGTAAAAGTGCCGGTTAATTACAAAAAAAAAAAAAATCGTCCGGTCGCGGTGACTCACCTGTAGCCCCAGTTACTCAGGAGGCTGAAGTGGGGGGATCACTTGAGGCCAGGAGTTGGAGGCTACATTTAGCTGTGATCCCATCACTGCACCCCAGCCTGGGTGATAGAGCAAGACCCCATCTCAATAATAATAATAATAATAATAAACCTAGAAAGAAACAGATGTAGCTGGGTGCTGTGGCTCATACCTATAATCCCAGCACTTTGGGAGGCTGAGGTGGGTAGATCACCTGAGGTCAGATGGTCAAGAACAACCTGGCCAACATAGTGAAACCCCATCTCCACTAAAAAAATATAAAAAATTAGCCAGGTGTGGTGGTGCGCACCTGTAATCCCAGCTACTCAGGAAGCTGAGGCAAGAGAATCACTTGAACCTGGGAGGCAGAGGTTGCAGTGAGCCGAGATCATGCCACTGCACTCCAGCCTAGGTGACAGGAGACTCAATCTCAAAAAAAGAAACAGATGTGATCAAGAGTGAGTTGGGAGGTCGAGGCAGGTGGATCACGAGGTCAGGAGTTCAAGACCAGCCTGGCCAAGGTGGTGAAACCCTGTCTCTACTAAAAATACAAAAAACCGCTGGGCGCGGTGGCTCACGCCTGTAATCCCAGCACTTTGGGAGGCCGAGACGGGCGGATCACGAGGTCAGGAGGTCAGGAGATCGAGACCATCCTGGCTAACACGGTGAAACCCCGTCTCTACTAAAAATACAAAAAACTAGCTGGGCGAGGTGGCGGCGCCTGTGGTCCCAGCTACTCGGGAGGCTGAGGCAGGAGAATGGCGTGAACCCGGGAGGCGGAGCTTGCAGTGAGCCGAGATCGCACCATTGCACTCCAGCCTGGGCGACAGAGCGAGACTCCGTCTCAAAAAAAAAAAAAAAAAAAAAAAAAGTGAGTTGGGTTGGAGGCAGGGACTGCTCTGGATTAAACGGCCAAGAAAGGCCATACTGAGATGTAAACTGAGCCCTGAAGGAAGAGTATTTCAGGCAAAGTGCAAAACCCGGAGGCAAAAACCTCTTTGGAATGTATGAGGTAGGTCCAGGGAAGCAAGGAGGAGAGGAAAGAATCCAAGTCCCGAGGTACAAGACAGGCAAGAAGTAGGTCCTGCAGAGCTGCTGGCAAGCAGCACCCGACCTAGCATTTTGAGGGCCAGAGGTAGTTGCAGAGCCCCTCTCATGCGAGGGAATAATGTCTATACACCTTTTTTTTTTTTTTTTTTTTGAGACAGAGTCTCCCTTTGTTGTCCAAACTGGAGTGCAGTGGTGGAATCTTGCCTCACTGCAAACTCCGCCTCCTGTGCTCAAGCGATTCTCCTGCCTCAGTCTCCCGAGTAGCTGGGACAACTGGTGTGTGCTACCACACCTGTCTAATTTTTGTACTTTTAATAGAGACAGGGTTTCACCATGTTGCCCAGGCTGGTCTCAAACTCCTGACCTTAAGTGATCTGCCCGCCTCGGCCTCCCAAAGTGCTGAGATTACAGGCGTGAGCCACCGCGCCCGGCCTGATACACACTTTTAAGGCTCCGGGGCTGTCCGTGAGGATCAAGCGTGGAAGTAAGTCTACAGAAAAGGCTGCCGCAGTTAACCCACGACAGGTGATGACAGTCTGGACATAGGGAGGATGGAGAGAAGTCGTGCGCCCTGGCAGTATTTCAGGAGCCAACTAATGGAGCCGGGACGCGAGAAACAGAGGAACCAGGAAGCCATAAGGAGGAGGTGGAGCAGCGGGTGGGTCAAGATGCCGCGGCCGCAGGAGGAGCTCGTGGAGTCGTGGTTACCCCCATCCCCGTGCAAGCTGACTTGGCGTCCAAGGGCAGAGTCCATACCACAAGGATCTGGAGCTCAGGAGAGACTTGTGGTCCACATCGCGAGAAAGCTGTGGGAATCCAAATACTGTGGCGATTGGCAGCCGCGTAGGCGAGGCGGGCTGGAGACCCGCCCGGATTTAGGCGCGAGCCACCTCCAGGGGCGGCGCCCAGGCCGCACTGCGCAGGCGCGGCTAACCCGTTTCCATGGCTGCGAGAACTCACGCTCCCCAACCGTCCCACAACTGTCCTGTCCCAGACTTTGGCACCGTCGGGGTCCGTCGTCGCCGAGTGTGTCAGCATCCCCACCCCGGCTGCTGCCCAGGATCCGCCGGACCCCGGCCTCGATATGGGAGACCTGGAACTGCTGCTGCCTGGGGAAGCTGAAGTGCTGGTGCGGGGTCTGCGCAGCTTCCCGCTACGCGAGATGGGCTCCGAAGGGTGAGGCACCCGGGTCAGGCGGAGTCACGGAGTCATTGTCCCTGAGTGGGGGAGCTGGAGCCTGACATGGGGGGAGGGGCTGCCCAGTGTGGAGGGGCTCCCAAATGGGGGAGCAGAGTGTTCCGAGACAGGAATATAATTGCTCCTGAGCCCCCTGTGTCCCCTCAGGATCAATTTAGGCTTCAATAGGATCCAGCCCCCATCCCCACTCCAAATGCACACACGTGGACCCATATGCACTTACACACCCTCTGAGGCAGGTGGAACCAGCAGCACGAGAACCTGGAGAAGCTGAACATGCAAGCCATCCTCGATGCCACAATCAGCCAGGGCGAGCCCATTCAGGAGCTGCTGGTCACCCATGGGAAGGTACCCCGAGGTCACAGGCAGGGTTCCTGCCTTCCCCCATACCTCACCTACTCTAACCCTCAGGAGTCCCCTGTGTGCTTTTCCCCTCTGGCCTGGTACACCTGTCCTCCCTGAAGGGGAGAGAGGAATGTGTTACATGTTTCCTTTTGTGTCCCTGTTGGACAGGACTCTGGCACACCAGGCTGGGTGCAGGGCATGAGTTGATTAGGGAGAAAGCTGTAGGTCCTAGAACAGCTTAGGCTTCGAGGGGAAGGCCCAAATGCTAAAGGCATCTGTGACTTGACTGTAAGGCTGGGGAGGGGGTGGGGAGGGCAGGAGGGAGGGGAGATAACTTAACTGGAAGTAGAACTTTGGCATGGAAGGAGGCAGCTTTCCTAACATGAGAGGGGAAAGTTAGAAACCAGGGAGATAGCTGGCTGGAACATGGACCAAGGAGTGTCACCAGCAGATGACCTGAGATATCAACTGACCAAAAAAAAAAAAAAAGCCAGGCGTGGTGGCTCATGCCTGTAATCCTAGCACTTTGAGAGGCCAAGACGGGTGGATCACCTGGGGTCAGGAGTTCAAGGCCAGCCTGACCAACATGGTGAAACCCTGCTTCTACTAAAAATACAAAAATTAGCTGGGCGTGGTGGTGCACACCTGTAATCCCAGCTACTCGGGAGGCTGAGGCAGGAGAATCGCTTGAACCTAGAAGACAGAGGTTACAGAGAGCCGAGATCGTGCCACTGCACTCCAGCCTGGGTGACAAGAGTGAAACTCTGTCTAAAAAAAAAAAAAAAAAAAAAAAAAGTTCCTTTGCAAGAGAAAGGTGGAACTCATACAAGGGGATAGGATAAGAAGAACATGGCTGGGCGCCAGTGGCTCACGCCTGTAATCCCAGCACTTTGGGAGGCCAAGGCAGGCGGATCACGAGGTCAGGAGATCGAGACCATCCTGGCTAACACGGTGAAACCCCGTCTCTACTAAAAATACAAAAAATAAGCCGGGCGTGGTGGCAGGCGCCTGTAGTCCCAGCTACTCGGGAGGCTGAGGCAGGAGAATGGCGTGAACCCAGGAGGCGGAGCTTGCAGTGAGCCGAGATCGCGCCACTGCACTCCGGCCTGGGTGACAGAGCGAGACTCCGTCTCAAAAAAAAAAAAAAGAAGAACAGGGCACTGTGAAGGGTCCTGAGTAAGAGTGAGGCCAAGGCACACAAGAGCCTTGGAGAACCACAGGACAGGGACAAGAGGGAGGGCATGAGCAGAAGGGCTGACTTGAAAGGGACGCCTGAATGGGCGGGGAGAGGATAAGGGTGCAGGTGCAGGCAGGGCAAGGCAGTCTGGGAACTGGGCAGGAGCCAGTCACATAAGCATGAGGGACATCCACAGAGGTGTTGGGAGCAGCTGGAAACGAAGGTCCGAAATGCAAGAGAAAAGTCAGGAAGGATAGCCATGGGGTTTGGGATAGTTTAGGAGCCCAGCAGTGTTTGGGGAGATCTGGGCTGAGCTGAGCCGAGCTGGGGATGGGAGGGTTGCCAAGCAAAGGTAGGCCCATCTCATCCCTGTCCTTTACCCCATCCTTCAAAGGTCCCAACGCTGGTGGAGGAGCTGATCGCAGTGGAGATGTGGAAGCAGAAGGTGTTCCCCGTGCTCTGCAGGGTGGAGGACTTCAAGCCTCAGAACACCTTTCCCATCTACATGGTGGTGAGCTGGGCCCCTGGTTCATACCTCCTCCCACTCCTTCAGAGGGCTCTGGACTAGGGAGGGGAGCTGGTAGCCCCTATCCCTACCACAGGCCCTGTCCCTCTCTTTGTCTGTCAGGTGCACCACGAGGCCTCCATCATCAACCTCTTGGAGACAGTGTTCTTCCACAAGGTGAGGGACTATCTCTGCCCATGGGCCACAGTTTCAGGTCAGGGCCTGGAAGGAAGGGAGGTTGTATCTGTGTGGGGAGGGCATCAGACACAGAAAGTTTCCCTCCCCCTTTCCCCAGGAGGTGTGTGAGTCAGCAGAAGACACTCTCTTGGACTTGGTAGACTATTGCCACCGCAAACTGACTCTGCTGGTGGCCCGGAGTGGCTGTGGTGGCCCCCCTGAAGGGGAGGGGTCCCAGGACAGCAACCCCATGCAGGTGGGTTGAGGTTACCTAGGATTGTGAAAGCCTAGGTCTGGGTTCCCCAAGGCCTGCACAGGCAAGGGTAGCCCAGCGTGAACACTGTGTGACCTCGCAGGAGCTGCAGAAGCAGGCAGAGCTGATGGAATTTGAGATTGCACTGAAGGCCCTCTCAGTACTGCGCTACATCACAGACTGTGTGGACAGGTGGGCAGTCCGACTGGGCCTGGGCCTACCGTGGAGGGCTGGAAGACTGGGCCTGTAGCCTGCCTCTGCTCACCTCCTTCACAACGTCCCTGCCCCAGCCTCTCTCTCAGCACCTTGAGCCGTATGCTTAGCACACACAACCTGCCCTGCCTCCTGGTGGAACTGCTGGAGCATAGTCCCTGGAACCGGCGGGAAGGAGGTAGGGTCCTCCCACACCAGCCTAAGCCCCAGGCTACTGCTTCAGGATATCTTTTTGATAGAGGGGGCAGTTTGCACACACAAAGACAAACCCCGTCCCCAAGCCCATCTGAGGATACCAGGATGCCTCAGCCAAGGTTGGCCTAGACCTGAGCTCTGCAGCAGGCCAGGCCCATGTGTCCACTACTGAGGCTCACTCTGCTCTGGGGTCAGCAGCACTATAGCCTGGGCAAGTCCTGTGGCCCAGGTTCTCCCACCATTCCCAGGCAGTGGTCAGTCTCCCAGCCCCCACAGCTGGCTCACTTGAAGAGAATGCAATGCCTGTACCCAGTGTGCTGGTTCCTCTCCCCAGGCAAGCTGCAGCAGTTCGAGGGCAGCCGTTGGCATACTGTGGCCCCCTCAGAGCAGCAAAAGCTGAGCAAGTTGGACGGGCAAGTGTGGATAGCCCTGTACAACCTGCTGCTAAGCCCTGAGGCCCAGGCGCGCTACTGCCTCACAAGTTTTGCCAAGGGACAGCTACTCAAGGTCGGACTCCCTCTGCACCAGCCCCTACAGCCCCAGCACCGCCCTCCCCATCCTACCCTGACCCTGTCCCTGCTGTTTATCTTTGCCCACCCACCTCAACCCCCGTGCTCTTTTCAGTCCTTGGGCCTCAGGTGACACACCAGCTAGTGGGACATGGACCCCCACAGGCATGCTCAGCCCAACCCAGCCCCTTCCTTTTCTGTGCCCCCTGGCCAGCACCTGCATCACACTGGCCTCCACTGGACACTCTTGCAGCTTCGGGCCTTCCTCACAGACACACTACTGGACCAGCTGCCCAACCTGGCCCACTTGCAGAGTTTCCTGGCCCATCTGGCCCTGACTGAAACCCAGCCCCCTAAGAAGGACCTGGTGTTGGAACAGGTAGACACTGGAAAGTTAGCTCCTCAGGACCACTGTCCTACTTTACCAACACCTTCCTGCCACTCTGCACTCCTTTCCCCTAGATCCCAGAAATCTGGGAGCGGCTGGAGCGAGAAAACAGAGGCAAGTGGCAGGCAATTGCCAAGCACCAGCTCCAACACGTGTTCAGCCCCTCAGAGCAGGACCTGCGGCTGCAGGCACAAAGGTAAGTCCTGTGGAACTGGCAGGAGGAGTGGATGGGATGCAGGAGGCATGGATGTGGGCAGGGATGCCCCCACCTTCCAGGGCCAGTCAGACCTTCCTGACTTTCCCCCAGGTGGGCTGAGACCTACAGGCTGGACGTGCTAGAGGCAGTGGCTCCAGAGCCGCCCCGCTGTGCTTACTGCAGTGCAGAGGCTTCTAAGCGCTGCTCGCGATGCCAGAATGAGTGGTATTGCTGCAGGTGAGGGTATCCTAGGACCTTGGACCCCTAAGTCCTACTGCCACATCCCCCACATGCACTGCCATCCTCAACACCCACCTGCCTGCAGGGAGTGCCAAGTCAAGCACTGGGAAAAGCATGGAAAGACTTGTGTCCTGGCAGCCCAAGGTGACAGAGCCAAATGAGGGTTACAGTTGCTGAGGGCCAACCACCTATGCCAAGGGAATCCACCCAGAATGCACCCCTGAACCTCAAGATCACGGTCCAGCCTCTGCCGGAGCCCCAGTCTCCACAGTGGAGAGCAGAGCGGGCGGTAAAGCTGCTGACCCATCCCCCTCCTCCCCACCCCAAGGGAAGGCTCGAGACTTCCTGCCCCACCTGGTGGGCAGGCCAAGTGTGTTGCCTCAGCAAACTGGGCCAGGAGGGCGAAGGCCGGATGTGGGGACCCTCTTCCTCTAGCACAGTAAAGCTGGCCTCCAGAAATACGGGTATCTCCGTGTGGTGCTTTGTGGTCGCCGTCTTTGTGGCCGTCCGGGGTGGGGTGTGAGGAGGGGACGAAGGAGGGAAGGAAGGGCAAGGCAGGGGCTCTGTGAGAGCGCGCCTAGCCCCGCCTTCGGGCCCCAGAGTCCCCGCACCCAGGTTTCCATTGCACGGCTCTCCTCAGCTCCTTCCCGCCTCCCAGCTTAGATCCTGGGGGCGGCGCTGACGTCGGGGCCCGCCCTGTGGCCCCGCCCGGCCCGCTCTTGCTAGCGCCCAAAGCCAGCGAAGCACCGGCCCGACCGGGCCATGTCGGCGGAGCCTGAGCTCATTGAGCTGCGGGAGCTGGCACCCGCTGGGCGCGCTGGGCAGGGCCGCACCCGGCTGGAGCGTGCCAACGCGCTGCGCATCGCGCGGGGCACCGCGTGCAACCCCACACGGCAGCTGGTCCCGGGCCGTGGCCACCGCTTCCAGCCTGCGGGGCCCGCCACGCACACGTGGTGCGACCTCTGTGGCGACTTCATCTGGGGCGTCGTGCGCAAGGGCCTGCAGTGCGCGCGTGAGTAGCGGGCCCCGCGCACCTACGAGAGCGGAAGGGGCAGCCAAGGGGCAGCGCCGTCGCCGCGGGTCAAGTCGCGGCAGAGGGGGTCGATGGGGACAGCTCCCGAGGACTAGGTCCGTTACTTTCGCCCCATCGCTGAAGAGTGCGCGAAAATGGTTTATCCCTTGTCGCACTCCACTCGTATATGGGGCACAGATGAGCAGAGGTGGCAGCTTATATGTAAAAATATGCTGATTTCAAGTTTCTTATCTTTAAAATGCCTTGGCCTTTCTTGAGAAAGGGTTTGTGCCTACTGTCCTCGGAGTCCATCTTCCCAGGCTTGCCTCTTCTCAAACATTCACTCACTGTGACCCCCTCCAGAACCTTTGGGGTGAAGGGAAGTTACCCACCTATGAGAGGGAACCTGGAAAAAGTTAGAACCTTGGGTGCGCCCCCTGCAAGCAGGAGTTTTGTTGAGTATTTAGCAAACACCCTTGAATCAGAAGCTAAAATATGGAAGGCAGCCACACACCCAGCAGTCCTTCTGCACCCCTGGGAATCACCAGCAAGCAAAGGTTGCTGTCCCCTAGCTAGACACCAGCTAGAATCACCAGGGGCGCTTTTACAGCCCTCCCACCCTCTAGCCTGGATCCCACCTCAGACCCATTGAATCAGCTGCTGGGAGTGGACTCTAGGCAGCAGTAAATTTTTTTAAATCCTCAAATTATTGTAACATGGAGTCTGGGTTGAGCATCAGTGCTCTGACCCACTTAGGAACTAGTGGATGGATGGTGTCCCAGGTCTGTATGTGCATGGAGACCCTCTCATCTGGTACAAGAGGACATCACAAATTCAGCTCGGGGGAGCACAAAGTTGTGACAGAATACAAAGAATAAACAAGGGCCGAGCACGGTGGCTCAGGCCTGTAATTCCAGTACTTTGGAAGGCCGAGGCGGGTGGATCACCTGAGGTCAGGAGTTCAAGACCAGCCTGGCCAACATGGTGAAACCCCGTCTCTACTAAAAAATACAAAAAAATTAGCCAGGCGTGGTGGCAGGTGCCTGTAATCCCGGCTACTCAGGAGGTTGAGGTGGGAGAATTGCTTGAACCCAGGAGGCGGAGGTTGCAGTGAGCTGAAATCATGCCACTGCTCTCCAGCCTTGGGGACAGATTGAGACTCTGTCTCAAAAAAAAAAAAAAAAAAAAAAAGAAAGAAAGAAAGAAGGAAGGAAGGAAAGGAAGAAAAAGGCTGGGACAGCCGGGCGCGGTGGCTCAAGCCTGTAATCCCAGCACTTTGGGAGGCCGAGACGGGCAGATCACGAGGTCAGGAGATCGAGACCATCCTGGCTAACACAGTGAAACCCCGTCTCTACTAAAAAAAAAAATACAAAAAAAATAGCCGGGCAAGGTGGCGGGCGCCTGTAGTCCCAGCTACTTGGGAGGCTGAGGCAGGAGAATGGCGAAAACCTGGGAGGCGGAGCTTGCAGTGAGCTGAGATCCGGCCACTGCACTCCAGCCTGGGCGACAGAGCGAGACTCCATCTCAAAAAAAAAAAAAAAAAGAAAAGAAAAAGGCTGGGACACTGCAGCATTCTCAAAGAGAAATAAAGTGGCCATAGAGATAAGAAGCAGGATGATTTGGGCATGTTTATCAGAGGTAGAGACAAGGGAGGAATCAACGATAAGTTTGGGTTTTTGTTTCCAGTAACCGGGAGCATAGTGGCCATTTTTGCTGCAAAGAGGAAGCTGGGCAAGGGTAGCAGTGAGGTGGAAGAAAAGGGAATTAAATTTTGGCCATGTTCACTTGAAACGTCTTTTAGACATCCTAGTGAAGGTACTGGCATGGAGGATCTAATCTGAGGGTTTAGGTCAGTGTTTCAGCTGTGGATCTGGGGCAGAAGACTGTGTAGACAGACCAGGCCAGCGATCAGGACTGAGCCCAGACTTCATCATGAGATACGGAAGTTGAGTCAGAATCTGCAAAGGAGCTGAGCAGGAGCTGCAGGGGGGTAGGAGGAAAACTGGCAGTGTAGCCCCTGGGAGTCAAAGGGAGCAAGCTTCAAATGATGCTGAGTGGGTGAGAATGGAGAATGGAACACTGCATTCCATTTGGCAGCACATAGATCGCTGAGGACCCTGTCCTGGGCAGTTTCCTGGAGGGAGAGGCAAGCCTGGCTGAAGTGGGTAGACGGGAGAGTGAAGGCGAAGGATTAGAGTGTATAGAGACCAATGTTTTGGTCTGAGGGGAGTACAGACAGATGACAACCAGAGGGCGGATGTAGGTTAAAGGTGTTTAGTTTTTCCTTCAAGTAAATGGGCAGATGTATTCCATAGAAGTTCCCAATGAAGCCGCCGCGCAGTGGCTCACGCCTGTAGTCCCAGCACTTTGGGAGGCCGAGGCGGGTGGATCACCTGAGGTCACGAGTTTGAGACCAGCCTGGCTAACATGGTGAAACCCTGTCTCTGCTAAAAATACAAAAATTAGCGGGGCGTGGTGGCGGGCGCCTGTAATCCCAGGTACTCGAGAGGCTGAGGCAGAAGAATCGCTTGAACCCAGGAGGCGGAGGTTGCAGCGAGCCGAAATCGCGCCATTGCACTCCAGCCTGGGTGACAAAAGCAAGACTCCGGTTTTTGGTTGTTTTTTTTTTTAATTGCCAATGAGGAAAGGGGAAGCTCTGTGCTAGGCGACAGAGATCCCAACTGTTGAGCAGGCCTCTGCTGTGGCCTTCCGGCCGGTTTCCAGACACCCAGGGTGGCCAACATTAAAGTCCGCATAGCAGTGTGAGGTAAAACACTGAGGTCGGGCCTGCGGAGCCTGGCGGGCAACGGCCCTCTTCCTGGGGCTTCCCTTCAATCTCCGGGACATTTCCCCGACCTGGGGCTCCTCCGCCTCACGGCCAGGCCTCTCTGCAGATTGCAAGTTCACCTGCCACTACCGCTGCCGCGCGCTCGTCTGCCTGGACTGCTGCGGGCCCCGGGACCTGGGCTGGGAACCCGCGGTGGAGCGGGACACGAACGTGGTGAGCGCGGGGCCGAGGGCGTATGGGAAGGGCGAGGACGGGCAGGCCACAGCGCAGGCATTCTCGAGGACTGCCTGGGTGCTGCGCGCAAGGAGCGTTCTAAGTGCCGATTTCCCGGCGCCAGAGAGAGGCTAATTCTGAGCGAGGGCTGGGAGGGGTGCCTGGATTGCCGGCTCCGCAAGGCCTCCACCCACTGCTAGCAGACCCCGGCCAAGGCGGACGCAGGCTCCGCGCACGCGCACTTCCCGCACCTTCCCGCTCTCGCCTCCGGCCGGAGGCCACCCTTGTGCGCTTGCGCGGACGCTGGCACCCGCCCCGTTCCCTGTGGTAGGTGGGGTCTCTGAGTGGAGCTGCCGGAGCGATGAGGTCATTCCTCGGCGCTAAGTGTGCGTGTCCCCGCCCCGGCGTTCCTCCCCCAATGACACAAGAGCTAGATCCCGGCGATCTACGTTTCAGTCTTAACGGTTGCGGCGCGGCGCTGGCCCGGGCGCACGCGCACACTGACACGCGTACACGCACGCACGCGACCGGGGCGGTGGTTAGCGGCTACGGACGCGCGGGACCAGGGGGACGGGCGGGTGCGGCGATGGGCGAGGCGGAAACGCCTTCTTTCGAGATGACCTGGAGCAGCACGACGAGCAGTGGCTACTGCAGCCAAGAGGACTCGGACTCGGAGCTCGAGCAGTACTTCACCGCGCGAACCTCGCTAGCGCGCAGGCCGCGCCGGGACCAGGTGGGAGCCCAGGGGTGCCGGCGGGGGGCGGGAGGCGATTGCTGGCGCTCCGCCCTCCCCGGTCCGTTGCCGCGTCCTGGGTCGGTGGGCAGCCCCACCCTCCCGGCTACGTGGCTCCCCGCGTGTCCTGGCCGGTGGCCTGCCCGCAGAACCGTGTGTAAGACCCCGATTCCACCGCCTCGATACTGGTTGCCTGGGCCCCCATAGTTTCTGTCACAGACAGGTTGAACAGGGAAAGCAGCTGTGTGGCTTGTGGTAGACCTGAGCCGGGCATTATCAAGCTATGACTAAAGCCGACCGAGCAGTCTGGACTAGCACCTCGATTTCCACGTTCAGATGCTCCTGCTCCCTCCTTGGGGAGACTAGGGGAGGAAATGGAGAGGGAGGAGTCCTCGCCAGGAATTGAGAAGTATGTTTAGGAAAACTGAGAGGCAGAGAGAGATCCTGCTCCTCCATTTGCACTCCTTTATGGAGCCAGCTGAGCCCTCACCTCTTCCCTGTTCTGGCCTGTCACCAGCTGCTGGAATGTGAAAGATTCTGATCCCTTCCTCTAGGGTGGATCTGGAGAAAGATTTGGAAATGGATAGGAAAGAAGTCTTATTTTGGACCATAAGCATTCAGGAGCACTTTACCCACAAGAAGGGGGAAGGGTAGATTATAAAATGCCTAAAGAGGTGGAAAGAGATCCAGGTTACTAACCTAGGACTGTAAGGTG